TCTGCACACTTGTTTTTGTTGTAGCACTATTAACAACAGTTAATGGATTTAGTCTAGGTTCTTATCAACAGATGCATGAATTAAAAAAATATGGTATATATTCAGAACAGCATCTATTTAGCCATAAAGAAAAAAATTATGCAATTTTCAGAAAAATTGGTAGTAACTGAGATTATCATGTTAAGCAAAATAAGCCAGACACAGGAAGACAGGTTTCATGATTTCTATTATACATGGAAACTAAAAAAATCCTGAAAATAAAAGATGGGTATTATTAGGAAAAATGAAGATCATGAGAATTGGAGGAAAAGAGGTAAAAATGGAGAACAAATGTGGTCCATACATGATATACATTGATATGGAAATTCCCATTAATACATACAGTTAATACACGTTAATAATTTTAATAAAAATCAGTACAACCAGATGTACTTAATGGACTTCTTTTGATATAAAAAACAGCTAAACAGCTATAAATGACAATATCTTTTTTATGGTTATCAATAGAGAATCAGGAACCAAGAACTTACAATAAATAACCATAAGCATAGGTCAACTTCAATACATATATACATATATATGTATGTATATATTTACTGTGATGAGAGTTAGCCAATATGTGAGACATTTTATTTGTGTCCAAAAATTGACTATAGTCTTTCCCTTTAAATTTGACTTGATACTAATTTTCCAGTAGATCCAAGCTTGGACAGATACTTTTCTGCATGATCAACAAATACCCATAAAATATTCACTTTTTAGTTTTTGCATTTCTATTTTGAACCAATAAGTGTTTTCTGATTGGGGGCAGTGGTATAAAGAGTGGCATGATAAGGGACAGAACTGGACACAAGGTCAGTTTGGTGCTCTTGTTGATGAGTTAGCATGGAATTCAGGAAAGACGGAACTAATACACCACCACTGACGTTATCTTTTGATGTAACCTTTTCACACCGAATGTTTACTCTGAGATAGGTCCAGAGCTGTGCATCAGGTAGGTATGGGTGGCTCATTTAATATGCTTTAGAGAAAGCAGCTTTCATCCTTGCTGTCTTATCTTGCTGTTGAGGAAGGAATGTAGGGCCTTGTGGTTCTCAGCCTTCCTAATGCTGCCACCCTTTAATACAGTTCCTCATGCTGTGGGGACCCCAACCATAAAATTACTTTCATCGATACTTCATAACTGTAATTTTGCTACTGTTACCAACTGTAATGTAAGTATCTAATATGCGACCCCCAAAAGGGTCAAGACCCATATGTTGAGAACTGCTGGTTTAAACTAAGATAGAAAGAAATAAGTGCACCGTATCAGACACATCGTGTGACAGTAATGGAAATGGTGGTGATGGGCTGCAGGGGTCTTCATTTGGGAGTCCTCATCTCTGTGATGGTGAGCCATTTGATATATGTTTTCCTGCCACAAAGTTCCTGCTGCGTAAATGAACCACGCTGTGGCATCAGGTTGCAGCTACTTTTGTTTGGCTGCTGTTGGGGCCTAGCAGAGCTGAGAGTTTCCTGTTGGGAAGATGCTGGGATCAGGCTTGCCTGCTATTTAGTCATGGCCTTCCCTTCACAGCAGGGTTGTGGACTCAGAGTGCTGGCATGATTCATGATCTTAAAATTTTTTAAATTAATTAACTAAGATAATTAAATTAATTAAGAAACTAATTCTTTGAGAATTTCATACCATATATTTAGATTCCTCTTCTTGATCAAACAAATAGAAATTATAGTCAATTAAGCTTAATTTTTTTTGCAATTTATTTTAGTGTGTGTGTGTGTGTGTGTGTGTGTATACGTGTGTAACTCAGACTTGGTGGTAAACTTCTGTACTCATTGAGCCAGCTCACTAAGCTCTCAAATTTAATCTTTTTAGTCAAAAAGATTTTATATTTTATACAAGCCATTTTTGTGTTGATACTGTTTTGGTATCTTTCCCCTGAAATGCCTCTCATACTAATCTATTTCTTTATTCAGTTTATGTTTAACAAGTAGTTGTGGGGAATGTAAGATAAATGTATCAAGCCTTGTGATGAACACTGGAGACACAAAGATCTGTACTTTGGAAACTGATAACATTTAAAAGTTCTTTTAATACTGTAAAATTCTGAAAGCTCCATCCAATTTTTGCTTCCTTGGGTTTAAAAAGTTTTATCACTGTGAAAGGCTTATAAGTTATGATTCAATTGAACTGCTCAACTGCAAAGCAAAACCTATAAAAGCCAGATGAAATGTCAAGGTGAACAACATCTTTCTGTGAATAAATTTTTCTAACTCCATTTTCAGAATAGCTTGGTTTCAGAATTGTGTAAATTAGTAAAGATCAAACAGGTTTGCTATTCTTAAAATGTTAGATTTTTTTTTTTTTTTTGCTCTATAAAAAAGTGTTTGTGAGAAATTCTATGGGAACACACACATACATGCTGTAGCAGAAGCCTTGATGGGCTGCGATGGAAATTTTATGTTTTGGAGGGGAGGATTTTAAAATAAAGACAATTTAAATCTTATCTCAATTATAATTTTATTCAAAGGATTATTTGATTGACCATGCAGCAAGCTCTTCTTCCTGAGAGCTAGCTGCCCTATGCCAGCTGGTTCACCATTCTGACAGAGTTGTGGCATGTTGTGAGCTATTTAGTTGACCTAAGGTACTTCCTTCACCTATAACCTTGTTAAGAGTAACATCCTTTGTCTGATTACTCTGGGTCATAGTGCATCACATAGGCAGATATTTATAACTTTGTCAAATGCAAGAATTAGTGATGTGCTAGCTTGTCACACATGAGTTATGATGGAGTTTAAAATTACTCCAATTGTTTTCTGAGCTGCTGGAGTGCCAGATCTATTTGTTGAAGTCATGAAAACTGAGAATTAGAAAATATCTTTGAGCCAATATGGCAATATTATTTATCTTTTAAAATAGCTTAGTAAGGACAATTTGAAGAGTTTAAAACACTACCTGGTGCACAGCTGACAGCAAGCCCACTATAGATCCTCGCTATGCTTTCGCAGCTGGCTTGGAATTCACTGTGTAGACCAGGATGGCTTTGAACTCACAGAGACCTGCAGGTATCTGCCCCTGAGTGCTGGGAGTAATAGGGTTGTACTGGCTGGTTTTGTGTGTCAACTGGACACTCACAAACTAGAGTCATCAGAAAGGAAGGAGCCTCATTTGAGGAAATGCCTCCATGAGATCCAGCTGTATTTTCTCAATTAGTGATCAATGTGGGAGGGGCCCAGACCATTGCAGCTGGTGCTGTCTCTGGGCTCTTGGTCCTGGGTTCTATAAGAAGGTGGGCTGAGCAAGCCATCAGGAGCAAGCCAGTAAGAGGCACCCTCCATGGCCTCTGCATCAGCTCCTGCCTCTGGGATCCTGCCCTGTTTGAGTTCCTGTCCTGACTTCCAGCAGTGATGAACAGCAATGCTGAAATATAAGCCTAATTAACCCTTTCCTTCCTGACTTGCCTTTTGGTCATGGTGTTTTGTCTCAGCAGCAATAGGAACCCTGACTAAGCCAAGGGGGCTCCACTAGGCTTGGCCTATAAACAGGGTTTTTGTCCTAAATGAACCATCTTCTGGGAAGTTTGTATGCAAAGTCTTACTTTCACTGTTCTTAAATCTTCCACTTCTTCCTCCTGTATTCTCCATTATAAACCTGGGGCCACCCCACATTTCGGTGTGATTCGAGCTGCCAGTTTTACTCCCCAACAACATGTTTCAGGCAAATGGTATTTTTTCCCCCAAATTTTTCATTTATTAAAAAAAAAAAGAGCTGGGTATGGTGGCACATACCTTTAATCTCAGCACTCAGGAGGCAGAGGCAGGCAGGTCTCTAGGGGTTCTAGGCCAGCAAGCGCAACATAGAGAGAGCTTGTCTCAAAAACAAAACAAAACAAAACAAAAACAACCCCCCAAACCCCACAAACGGCTTCCCCCAATCCCAACCCCAAAACACAGAATGAAGGTCAAACATGGTGGTACATGTCTGAGTCTTAGCACTCAAGAGGTGGAGTTAGGAGGACTGGGAGTTCTTGGCTAGCCTCAGCAACATGGTAACTACAACACCAGCCTGGACCACACAGAGAGAGCCATCTAATAAAACCAAGAGCTGATTGTGTTATTCATTGGTAGACTGCTTGTCTAGAACATTCAATGCCCTGAGGAAATAATATTTTAAGTGCAGATCATTTACTTGATAAAGAATTAACCAGGATATTTTAAGTATCATGTCCAGGGTATCATAGACTACCCAGGGATAGGCATCTCCACTCCTCGTCAGTATATAATCAGCTAGCAGCGTCCCAATGTATCACCACAGTCAGCTTTGCTGGTCCAAACTGAATCTGGTTTACTAACACACAGCTCATGAGATAGACATCTCCATCGATTGAACCTGCTCTTACTCCTATCATCTTGTAGCTGCTTCTTGGCAAATAGAAAGGTTCTCTCCCTCATTCAAATTTTCACCAATATTTGACTCAGATGGTTGTTCTTGTCTTGAAATTCATGATACCTGGCTTTTAGGAGACTTCTAGTTTGCTTTAGACAGCATCCTCTCTGGTTTACATGGGACTCATTGCTTGATCTCTATAGCTTAGGAAGTTTAGAGTTCGGTCCTCAGTTCACTTAGATATTGAGATATCTTAGATCATTTAGATACCTGCTTAGACACTGCATTCTAGTTTTGCCATTTTAAATGCCACCAATGTGTTGTTGGGTCTTATATTTTTAATCTATATTTTGCTCTCTCCATGAGGTACAGACTATTATACCCAGTGATCTGCTTATTACCTCAAGTTGGGTATAAAATAAACATCTCAAACCCCAAAGCTGATCTACTAATTTCTAGTGTCTACCTGTGTCTTGCTGACTGGATTCCCCTTTTCTTCGGTCTCAAGTCTTGATTTTGTCCTTTTCATTGTGACCATCAACAAGTCTCGTCACCTCTTCTGTCATGCTATGTCCCCAAACTCAAGTGATTCTCCTCTGTTCTTTTACAGTGACTATATAAATCTGGAAATGCCTTGTTAGGTGTAGTTACGTAAGTACAGCTTCTTTTGTATTACTCACGTTTCCATATTATACATGTATATGAATTTCCTTCATTATACATATATATGAATTTATAGTACATGTACATATAACACACATATACAAGACACATATATGCCTTTTAAAGTTTTTATTCAAAATAGATTTTTTTCATATGATATATTCTGATCATAGTTTCCCCTCTCCCATCTCCTCCCAGATCCTACCCACCGGAATCCATACCCTTTCTTTTTCTCATTAGGAAACAAACAGCCAACTAAAAAAACTATCAAACAAACTGGATAGCACAAAACAAACAAACAAACAAACAAACAAACAGAGCTAAAGAAAAAGCCCAAGAAACGCATATAGACACAGAGACATACACACTTGCACACACAGAAATCCTATAAAATCAGAGGACCAGAAACCACAGTATATAAGCAAAAGACCTGTAAGATTTAAATAAGTGCTCATACAAAGCATAATGAGACAAAAACCCTTCAAAACTACCACGGAGTTGATTTGGTGTTGGTCATCCACTGCTGTGCGTGGGACCTGCCCGTGAGTGTTCTTGGTAGACCCAGTAGGACTCCATTGGAGAAAACAAGGTTTTTCTTTGTGAGCAGTTATTGACTGGAGATAGTTTGTGGGTCAGGGATGGGACTTTGTGTCTACTTTCCTTGTCTGGGAGCTCATCTGGCTTAGACCTGTGTGGGCCCTGTGCATGCTGCCACAGTCTCTGTGAGTTCACATGGGTACCAACCCTGTTGTATCTAGAAGGCCTTGTTTTCTTGGTGCCTTCCATCCCCACTGGCTCTTACAATCTTTTTGCCTCCTTCCACAAAGTTCCCTGTGCCCTGAGTGGAGGGCAGACCCACTTTTTTTTGCCCAATATACCTGACACATGTTTCTTTCTACTCACAGCACTCGTGACCAGGTGGGTCTTTCACACATCACTGTTTTCCATGACTCTGGACACACCAACTGAGCATTTTTATAATTTGACTCCTTCCTAATCGTGTCTGGGGTTGCATAGACAAGACAGGTGAGGCCTCAGTCTCAGCCCCTGACTTCATACGCCAGCTGTAGGTAGCAGGTATTCAGGTTATTCAAGCTTCTGCCTTAACCTGACTATAAAATCAGGGGTTTCCAAGCCCCCTAATCTATTCAAAGCACAATTATCTGTTTCCACAAGAGTGTCTCCTGTGGTTTTTCTAATTGATGTTCATTCTTGGAATCCATGTTTCTGGTTTGCTTTTATAGTTTCTCTAGGGTTGATTTTAGGTGAAAAAACCGGTAGCCCATGCTAATTGGCGGTATTGAGGAGTGTAGTTTAACTTTAATGAGGTCAAAACTCATTTGCTTTTATATAATTCTTGAATGATCAGAGTCATTCTTTTTTTTAAAAGTGAGCTTTTTAATGTCTCTGTCTTTGAACTATGAAATAGTTCATTTATAAAACACAAGAATTCAGTGGAGCTTACCGTTTAGGGAAAGAGTGTTCACTAGTCTGTGAAATACTCCATTCCTCCTGGTTCTTGGCTCTCATGAGAACAAATATGAGCTTTTTAAAAGTCATTATAACTTCCTTTGTCTGCTGAGTAGGTAATCAGAAAACCAGGTTGGATGTCTCCTGCTGTGGCTATCTGTTTAATTTTGACAGAGCCTTTAAAACTTATACAATTAGAATGTCCTATCTAACTACTGAAAAGGTTGATGCATTGGGTCTCTTTTTGTTCTATCAGTTTATAAGGATCACTTTATGGGATTTTCAATAATTTATTTAAGTTACGTTCTTTAAAGTCTTACAGCATGAAATTGTTAACCATAATTGATAAACTGTCTTCCAATTGAAGATAAGTAGTATGTGATGCTAATGACATGTAAACTACTAGCCTCCAAGATTAACAGCGAAAGGCACCAGAGAGACGGACCTGCCTGTAAAGCACTTGCCACGGAAGCATGAGGACCTGAGTTTGATCCCCAGTACCCATGTCAGAAGCTGGGTGTGGTGATATATGCCTGTAATCCCAGACTGGAGAGTCAAACCCGAGGCTCGCTAGATTACCAGTCTGCCGAACCAGGGAGCTATAGCTTCATTAAAAGACCTTTTCTCAAAATACAAGATGGCCACTTTGGCCTCTGGCCTTAACACTTATGTGCACATACACATGCAAATATAAAAATACCCCTATGTCACACACATACACAAACACATAAGTGCACATATACCATACACACGTCCACAGGAGTATTTAATGACAAGATACTTGTTAATGAACCAGGAAGTGGGGTCTTACCAGACACGCTATCTTCCAGCTCTTTGACCTTGAATTTCCTTCTGTTTAGAACTGTGTGCAGCCCATCTATTTAGCTTATTAATTACCTAGTCTAGTTGTTTTTCTCACAGCCTGAATGGACTCAGATGAAGAGGTAATTAATAATTTTAGGGAAATGATGTTAGGGGAGGCTTCACTGAAGAAATAATATATGAACTCATCTTGAAGAGTAGGAATGCATTACATAAAAATTTAATTTGGGTGTGAAATTTTGATTTTGAGATATTCGATCACACTGTGAAACTCTAAGACTGTATTAATAGAATTAACCTTGGACAGGGGGTGGAGACAGCAACTAGCTGAGAAGAATTAGCCATAGAGAGTATGGAGGACCCAGGGAGATGGATAGAGAGTTGCTCAGGAAGTAGTAGGGAGGGACTGAGAGCTTCATAGTCTTTTTTTGGGGGGTGGGTGGGTGGGACGTGTGGAGAGATGTACTTGCTGGGTCTCCGGTAAAAAGGGGAAGGTCATCTGGTCACTCCTCCACCACCTCTTTGATCCAGGTTTTTACCCCAGTATCTGACTCTTTATTGGTAATAGAACAACTTAGATAAAAACAACAGATTTCCTCTCTGGGAAATGCTCCTAAAGCCCAAGAATATGTGCAGCTTCAAGAGGAGGTGGCCCTAGCTGGGCGGTGTGGTGCACGCCTTTAGTCCTAGCACCAGGAGGCAGAGGCAGCAGATCTCTGAGTTCAAGGCCAGCCTGGTCTACAGAGTGAGTTCCAGTAAGCCGGGGCTGCACAGAGAAGCCCTGTCTAGAAAAACAAACAAAAGAGAAGGTGATCCTGGGGTGTGAGTGGGTTGTGTAATGAAGGAGACAGTGGGCGATGGCTTAACTTTTTCAGTTTTAAATTTCCATAGAGTGAGGAAAAAGCTAGGCAGCAGTGGACCACCCTAGAAAGCTTCGAGTTCTAATACTTCAGAGAAAGGAATGGATACTGTGGTATAGATACTCTGGATACTCTGGTAGTCTTCAGGAGAAATGAAGCTCACCCTTAAAAATGATGAGTTGAGTGTGTGGGAAAGCATGATTGTTCATTGCAGTACTGCTGTGTGTGCCCAGGAAGGGAAGAATGCCAGAGAGAGGAACACTCAATAGGATCAGATGTCGTGGAGCTTGTCTGGACAGCTTCTTCAGAGACAGAAGCATGTACACATATTGTCATACTTTGGTCAGTGACAGACTGCGGCTACAACAGCGATCTCATAGGACCAGATTTCCTGTGACATCATGGCCATCTTGGATTGTGTAATCATACTCTATGCTGTTTGCACAGTGACAAAACTATTCCAACACGTATCTCAGTACACATGCTTGTCAGTAAGCAACAGATGACTGCATATGAGAACATTTATTAATGGAAATTGATTCATGTGATTATAGAGGTAAGATGTCCCACGAGACTCCATCTGGGAGCCGGAAACTCAGGCGAGCTGGTGGTGTAGTAATGTGAACGTGAAGGAGAGAGTCACGATTGCCAGTGTCTGATGGCAAGATAAGATGGATGGTCCAGCACAGGAAGGGGTGGGGAGTGGGGAGGGACGGAGGAGAGAGACAGAGATTTTCCTCTCATTCTGCTCTATTTGGGCAATCAGCAGATTAGTTGATATCCACCCACATTGGTTAGGGTTGTTCTTCATGTAGTCTGCCAGTTCAAATACTAATCTCTTCTGGAAGTATCCCAATAGACAGACCTAGAAACAACGTGTTACTAGCCCTCTAGGCATCCTGTGTCTCACACAAGTGGTCACACAAAATAAAACATCACAGAGCTCAGGTATGATAAACACTGGGGAGAGATCATCACTGCTATTTCAAGATTGCTTTCATTGGGGGTGGAGGTGGGTCTCAGGATAAGCAGATGTGTATGAGTTAGGAATAAATGGGGAATAAAGACAGTGGGTAGAAATGCAGAAATGGGTCCCATCTGGATACCTGGCTGTGTGCCAGTGGTGTTAAGTAGTAATAAATCAGGGAACTATTAATGGATGAGCAATGAAAAGAATTTCCATGAATAGAGTTCTTACCATTTGAGGAAACTTTACGATATTTTTAAGACTCCAGATGCCTTCCAATAGAGGGGCTGACAGGGAATTTGAGCTGCTGGGAGGTACTAGTGTGTCAGTACCAGTGATTTTCAAAGCTTTTTGACGGTGATCCTCAGTAAACAGGTGATTTTTAGTTATGCCCAATGACACATATATGCTCAAACACATATGGAAATTAGAAACTACTTCCTTGCTATAGTCGAGACACTGATATTTTCCTTGGTAATTCCATTTTTTAGAAATTTATTTTAACTCTCATTGATTCTTTGCAGATTTCCTATGATGCATCCTCCTCCCCACCTCTGCCCCTGCAAGCTCCCCTGCAAAACAAAACAATTTAAAAGAAAACTCCCAAACCAAACCAAGCAAACAAGCAAAACAATAAAAAACCAAAGCAAAAACAGAAAACAAGCAACCGGAACAATCAAGCAACAGGAGAGGAGAAGGATGAGTCTCACAGTTCACAGTCCCTTTAGTCCTTTTCTCTTCACTTGCAAATGTTCACTGCCAGGAGTCATGGGTCTGGTTGGAGGACTTACTGGGGCTCCTCTTGGGTATCCTGTTGTCTTGGATCTGTAGGTTCGTCCTCTTCACATGCTCCAGCAGTTCATGGGGTGGGCCCACTCATAGCCCTGGTTCTTGGCCTGTGGTAGGTGGGCTGGTGAGCCCGCCAGTTTTCCCCAATTGTCACCACGCGGGTGAGCTCTCCAGCACTGCCTTGGCCAGACCACCCAATGCAGCCTGCCGCAAGAGCGGGGCCACTTCTGCTCTTGGGCTTTTGGGTCCAGCTCACTCACACTCACACCCCCGGGGCCAACTCCACTGTCTTGCCCACGCAAGGTGCAGGGCCCTGTCTCTCATTTGCTGTAGGGCATATGGGGGGCGTGGTCAGCTCTCCTGTTCTCACGCCCTCAGGGCTGCCTCACTTGCATCCCCAATGACACTGTTAGCTCTAGTTTGCTGTGCTGGCAGGGTGTAGGGTCGGCTCTCCTGTTTGCCCTAGCTGGTGAGGGACAGGGCTAGCTCTCCCACTCTCGTGACCCCGATGCCAGCTCTCTAGTCTGCTGCAGGTAGCAAGGGGGTGGGGAGGGCATATTTCCCTCACCTACGCCACCACATGGCAGACTGGGGCCCGAGTGTGTGTGTGTGTGTGTGTGTGTGTGTGTGTGTGTGTGTGTGTGTGTGAGCTCTACTGTTCTCACGCTCTCAGGGGCTTCTCACTTGCACCATCACCAACAGGGTCAGCTCTAGAGTACTGCCCAGGTGAGGTGCATACCCAAGGTGAGGGATGGGCCATCTTTCTTGACTGGGGTCGGGTGGAGTGGGGGGATCTTTCTTGACTTGGGTGAGGTGGAGGGTGGAGTGGGGGGAAGGGACCTCTTCTGCTGCAGTATCCAGCGAGGGGCAGTGTCAGCTATCCTAGGGCGGGGGAAGGGCAGGGCCAGCTCAGTATGGCTCTCGGATTTCAACACGCTCTGGTCCTATGACACCGCCCTCTCGTGGTAACACTGGCAATGGACATCAACATAGACAGCCTCAGCAGGACCACAGACTCAGCCACGGCCCTGGGCCGCTTCCCTGGCCTGGATGACATCATGGCCCCAGGTGGCAGTGCAGGTCACTCAGATCAGCATGGCCCCGCAGCAGCACATCCCCTGGACACCCACATGACCAAAGGTTGTGGCCTAGATCCCCAGACATCTCTGGGGTCTCTGGTGGCAACATGGGCCATGGACATCAACACAGAACCCGGCTGTGGCAGGACCACAGACCCAGACATGGCCCTCAGCAGCAGCCCAGACCCAGATGTCACCATGGCCTCAGGTGGCCGTGCAGGCCACTCAGATCGGCACGGCCCCCAGAGCAGCATGGCTCTCAGACCGCAACCTGGCTCCAGGTGGTGGCCCGGACTGCAGTCCTCTGTATGGCGCTCAGTGGCGACCACAGTCCTCTGCATGGCGCTCAGTGGCGACCACAGTCCTCTGCATGGCGCTCAGTGGCGACCACAGTCCTCTGCATGGCGCTCAGTGGCGACCACAGCAGTCCTCTGCATGGTGCTCAGTGGCAAAGGAGCCGCAGACTTCATTCCCCCTCAGCTGCTTCAGGGCCTCGGACCAAGACTGGCCCTCGGGAGTAGCCCAAGGCCGAGAAATGACTCGGCACTCAGGGCTAGCAGGCCATTTCCATTAGCCTGTTCCTCACACCCTCACCGCTTCAGATCTGCCTCTCTCCCTTGCCCTCGAACCACTCCACCTCTCTCTCTCTCTCCCACCTCCCTTCCCTGTACCCGCTCACCACAATAGTGTCTGACTGCCTGGCACCATAGGCACCAGGCGGGCACTTGGTTGAGACCTGACCCCGCAGATCATGGCATGGCATGGAGCCGTTGCTGAGTCGCAGCCAGGGGCTAGGGACCCCAGACAGTGTTTGGTTGAGTCCTGCCCCTGCCGCCAGCCACAAGGCAGGGCAGGGAGCTGTGCTTTTGCTATGATTCAGTCCGGGGCTTGTTAATTTCATTTTTTGAAAGTTAATTATGATTTCTTGTGTACAGTGCATTTCAACTTTGGCCTTTCTCAGTCTCAGTGGAAAGTTTGATTGCCCAAGATTTATTTTGAGCACGGAAAGGATTATATAACCTAAAAGCATTTTTGGTATTTATAAAACTTTTATTAATTACTTAACTTGCAACTAGATTACAGACTTTCTAAGTTTAGTTTTATGTGAAACAAAATAAGCCCTTTTAGAGGATAGTTGACTTGTTCCCATAATTCAGCGGAATAGACCAAGTCAGTTAACAGTGGGTCCCATTTGTAAGCTTAATTGTATTTTCTGAAGTCTCCTAAATGGCAGTTAACAAATTTAATATATTTGATTTTCCTTGAAGTCCTTCCAATGCCTTTCTAGGCAAACTATTAGTTTATCAAGGAACATTCCCTTAAGAATTTGACTGTTATAAGTCTAATAAATTAAAGTTAGAAATGGACCAAAATCTCAGGCTCCTCTGGGCACATCTGTGATGTGAAAAAATAACCCTGAACTTAGTAATGTAGTTTCATAAATCTCTCTGGAAAAGAATGAACAATTTTGATTATATTATACTATTAAACAATTTACCTGACAATTTCATTTATTTACTAATACATATATTTAAAAAAATTAAAATAGTTTTTCATAGATACATAAATGAGATATGGTCGTATCCTCTTCCATTCTCCCCTTCAGCTCCCCTCAGGTAATCCTAACATGCCCTTCTCTTTGTTTTTATTGTTTGGATAACCCACCAGGTCCAATTATTGTTACTCCTATGTGAATGGGTATGGTGCCTTCCGGTAAAGTGTGGAAACCTACCACGACTACACCCTCAAAAAAGAGTGGCTCTCCCTTTTCCAGTGGCTACCATCGGCGGATAGCTCTTCAGCAAGGGGCAGGGCTTGGCAAGGATCTCCCAACACCTATGCTGTAATGTTGGCTGGGTTGACCTGCTCAGGTAACCATGGCTGCTGTGAGGTGATGAGTACATTGTGCTGTTTCCAGAAGGCAGCATGCCATAGCCCTTCTCCCCAACCTCCAGCTCTCCCAGTCTTTTAGCCTCTTCTCGGTCATGTTCCCTGAGTCTCTGTGCGTGCACGTGTGTGTTGGCATGTGTTGTGTGCGTGTAGTTGATAAAGATGTCTGAGTTAGGGCTGAACACTCAACCTCTTTTTCTCAGCACTTTGACGGTTACACATCTCTGCACTGACTACTGCTCACTACAACAAGACACTGACCATGTGCCTATTCAGTTCTCCTAGCAGCCCTGGTGGACAGACTGCTCTTAACCTACTGTGTGTTTTTAGTTCCTTTGTCAAAATTCACACTTATGATCCCAGCACTTGGGAGGCTTGCCAAGAGCTCAAGGCAGTGAGACTTTGTCTCAAAAAAAAAAAAACAAAAAACAAAAAAAAAAACCAAAAAAACAAAACCCAAACCAACAGTAATATTAACAGCACAAGCAAACTGGCTGCAGATGCATAGGTTTGTTTCTGGACTCTATAATCCAAGTTTTTAGTTGTAGCTGGAAGTTTTCTTGTGTCCCGCCCATCCCCCAGCCTCTCAGCCACAAGTAAACACACAGAGGCTTATATTAATTACAAACTGTATGGCCTATGGCTCAGGCTCATTATTAAATAGCTCTTATAACTTAATTTAACCCATTTTTATTAATCTATGTTTTGCCATGTGGCTTCATGGTATAACCTGTTCTCTCACATCTTGCTTCTCCTGGCAGCGGCTTGCAGTGTCTGCTCCCATTCCACCTTCTCTCTCTTTCTCTCTTGGATTTTCCTGCCTGGCTACATTCTGCCATAGGCTAATGCAGCTTTATTTGTTAACCAATGGGAGCAATACATATTCATAGCATAGAGAAAGACATCCCATAGCACTTCCCCTTTCTGTCTAATCAAAAAGGGAGATTTTCATTTTAACATAGTAAAATTGCATATAACAAAACAGTTATCAAGCAAGAATTACAGTTACAATATCTAGTCTATTTGTATTTGGCAAAATTAAAGAAAATATTCTATCATCTATCCTTTATTTGTGAGTCTAAAATTTCATAGCTGATTTACCTTATATCATAACTAAGGAAAACTATAATTATAACTACCTAGTCTTCAACTCCATCAAAGACCCCAGAAGGATATAATATTATCGAGTAAATAGGAAGTACATTGTAAGCAACTTCCAAAATTCTAGAAATGACAGAGACATCTGGCTTCCTGGACAGTCACCCAAAGTTCCTCTGTAAAGTTGGGGGCACCCATCTTCAGCCTACAGGCCTAGAGTCTCTGGCATAGCTTTCAGTGAAGCAGGAAATTTTAAGGACTGTCAGCCCATTTTGGCAAAGTTCGTCAGTTGCTTCTCCCTGTGCCCTGTAGAATATCTGGCAGTCTCCTCTGTGTAACAGGAACCTAGAGAACTACCTCGCCTTGCAAGTTCAGTGGTCACCTTCCTATGGGTCCTACATGTCCAGTTTATACAACATACTGTCAAGCAGTCCAGGCAAGAGCACTTTTCTTGCTCAAATGGCTAACTTTTGCCATAAAGAAAGCAGACTCCATGATGAGTTTCTTTGATGCCCATCATCTTCTTTGAAGTAATTGGTGCTGCCAGGAGCAGATGTGTCTCACTGTCCAGAAAAGTCTAAGTTGTTAAAACATTTTAAATGCCATATTCTGTAGGTCTTTGAAGTGTTTGAAGATTACCTACCTAATTGACATATACCTTTGTATACCTAGAAAACTTAACTAATATGACTATAAGTTTGATTATCATAGATGACTAT